ATTTAAGATATCTCTAATAATATTCTGACTAGTATAAATAACATTAGATTTATCACTAGATTGTATGGAGATTCCAGTTCAAGATATCTTAAATGTATCTTTAGATATGAGATTCACTATATAAGATTTAATTAATGCAAATTTCAGACTTTTTCATGTTCTGTAAGTTGTATTTAAAACAAAGCTGCTGCTGTTGATCATTAAGCAGCCCTCCCAAGACCAATATGGGAAACACTGGAAAGGTCTACAAATGTTTATTGAAGATGTTTTTGATAAAGAATTGACTGACAACCATGTTAATATTTTTGCAGTACAAATACACTACATGTTTTTTTATATTTTATCAAATTTTGAACATTTTTGTTTCGGGCAGGTAAAAAATAAAAATCTTGTCGAACCCTGGACTGAATAAGAAAAGAATCAAGTGGAAGCCTCTTTTTGATGTACACGTACCATATTGCTAATGAGATKACAAATATACTGTAAGACCCGTGTTTAACCTACGAGTAACTTATCCATAACTTGTTTCTAGCTCATACATGACTCACACTAGTGACATTGTTTTGACTTTTGCAGATCTTATGTGTAACATTAGTGTWATTATGCATGTTGAAGCACTTTCAATCATAAGACAGTTCAGTCAGAGACTGATGTCATCCTCCGAGCATTCGGCAAACACAAAAGGCAGAACGGCAAGTAAAGTGAGCCCACCTCTGGTGGTGATTGACCTCTGAGCCCCCAAGCGAGGTAGTATCAGTATCAGGTCAGCCTTGGCCGGGCTGACCGACTTGTGAAAAAGCGACCCGTGGTTCCGCACTCAAAAAATAATAATGAGCTGATGACATCAAGGAGTGACCGCAGGATTAATCAACAAAGATTTATTACTGAAGGARTATTAGAGATGACACAAAACAGCAACTTCACAGTTAGTTTAAAAAATACTGAACCACAGGATCACTAAAGTAAATTTGTGTTGTTTGATACGAGGCAGACGCCCGTCACACAAACGTGTCACGTCCTCTTCAGCCGAGCTGAGACCTTCTCCACGTCTCTTTTGKTTCCGCACTGCTGGGTTCATTTCTGAACGCACACGTGTGAGTGGGGCCTGGCCGGCTTCTCCTGTTATTTATGAATGACCCGAGGGTGCTTAAAGCCRGACKGGTCTGTGCTGCGATTTCATGGAACCGTCTTGTGAAAGAGGCCATATTGAGACAATCAATTGTTCACAAATATAAAATGGCTGGCTCTTTGCACCTCCAGTCATTATTTTGCATTGATCAACATCCATCATAACAGGTCCAGTACCAAGTCAATCAGGTCTTTATGATGTTGAAAAATGGATATTTGGTATTCWTAAGCCTCTCAGGATCCTCCAGCTCTGTGGTGAAAGCTGTGGATCTCCGCACCTCATAGATCCAGCAGGAGTGTTGAGTTGCTCATTTTTTTGTACACTATATAAAAGAACCCAAACTACTAGTAAATACGTTAGATGTAAGTTAGAAACATGTTTAGTAAGTACTAGAGTTGTCAGCTATAAGCTGAATATGACGATATACGTTCTGGAAACCTCTGATATAAGATTAAGATATGTTRGAAGTTGGTCATAGGTTATAAATAAGTCTAAATTGCCCAGATAGTTTTTGTTGCATGTTGACATACAGTATGACTAACTTACAAGTAACATGAGTGCAGCATTTGATACTGTTTCCCGCACTATCCTCATTGACAGACTAGCATCTCTAGTCATTTCTGACACATCACTGAACCGGTTTAAATCTTATCTYTCTGGTCGCACTCAGTTCATTCAACTCAAAACATTCTCTACCAAACCTGCTTCCCTTTCCTCTGGTGTGCCCCAAGGATCTGTCCTTGGACCCCTCCTATTTATCATCTACATTCTCCCTCTCGGCTACATATTTCGTAAACACAATATACAGTTTCACTGCTATGGTTTTTATTATTGACTTTTGTAAGGTGACCTTGAGAGTTTTGAAAGGCGCCTATAAATAAAATGCATTATTATTTATTATCATTAACATGTCTGGCATCAGCGTACAACAACCCATACCATCGTATAACAGTGTTCTGGTAACTTATTATGAACTTATACCTAACTTATCTTATTTACACCAGTGCGTTTGCCTTTTCTTTCCATACACTGACATACATTGATGGCTTGACATTACTGTGTCAATCTTTTTAGTAAAGATGATCTATGATATGGCAATATTTATTTAACAAAGACAGAAATACGTGGTCCAAGAATGAAGGTACTCCGTGGGATGATCAGCTGAGTTTTATTGCAACAACAGGAAACACAGAGAACAACCTGGCCTGTCTCTGTGCCTCTGCTTCTCTCTGTCACTGTCTCTCCACACTACTCACTGTGTCTCGAGAGGCCTCATATATATATTAACAAACACCATTATGTCATCTTAGCAAGATTTGATACAAGGTCAATGGAAAACACAAAGATAAACACAAGTGATATCTAAGAATGACTGTTGTTAGCAGATCTTGTTCTGACTTTAATCATTCTGTCTGCAGATGAACAGCATGTCATGAAAACCTAGGTCATTAAAGGATGTCATGAATTACTTGCTTAAACATAAAAGTATTAGTTCCATTACAATCTATAAAGGGTAAAAAAAAGATTGCATGTATTTTCACTATCATCAGTTTTATAAAAAATCCATTATGATACAAACACCTGCATCAGAGCAAAGGTCAAAGGTTTTCAAAGCTCACTAAGCCTCTGCTATCAGCAGCAAATCAGACAGCTGATAATGTGACAGACAGCCCAAGTGCAGTGAATTACCTTGTAAACAAAATGAGATTAATTAAAAAATGCCCACTCTCTCTGGGCATGCCCATAAAGTCACCTCAACAGATCTCGCTGAGGGATATACGGAGAGAGAGGTGAAGCAGAAGTGAGAGCCGTGCTATCTGCAGGACCTTTAACCCGACTGAGGGTTTAGCAGCGTCTGTTTAAAGCCACCAAATCCTTCACATATGCCTGAGAGCCAAACTGTGCCAACTGGACAACCGCAAAGCCAAGACGGCTCGACTAAACCCAGAGGATAGTTTGTTCTGATCAGAGCGTAAAACCTGAAACTCATACAAGGAGAAGCAAAACCAACTGGTCAAACAAGAAAAATAATTCAATCAATCTGATTGTTACCAGCTGGGTGCATCAGAGCAAAAATGATTAAACACAACTAAAATGTGCTTTTATTTTTAATTTTATTATTATTWTTTTTTTACAAATAGTTTGACTGAACCTAAAAAGTAGGATGAAGATACCTCCGCTGCTGTTCCAGCTCTTCTGGGGTGGGTCCATTGGACACTGGGCGGGGGAGGGTTGCATATCCTGCAAAACCAAGACAGAAATATATACTCTGTGCACATAAATAAACTTTTACAATGAGATTAGAAGGTGCCATAAATTAATGGTTGAACTTTATACATCTGCCTCTAAAACTGAGCACCCCCCCCCCTTCTGCAGATGGTACAAAGTCTGAAAACAGTCCAGCTGGGACAGAAGAGCTAAATCACATTTCAATAAATCACTCGTTTTGTTTTTTATGTTGGTTTTATTATTAAGATTACTTTATTTTACAGGAAACTAAATGCAGAGGCAAATATAAATGATATCGCCTCCTATTTTAAAATATACTCAGACAGTTCGGTTCAATATTCTGCGAGAGAAAACATGATTTGTACTTTTATTTATTTATTTATTTACAAATTCATGGTGACAGAACAAGATGGGCCGGCCAGACCAAGGACCAAAGCTTTAAAGTTTTACTTTTATTGTGTTTTAATCTACTCCTCTGTGGATCTTTGTGTTTAATCTTAAGATGGATGCATTTTCTGTGAAGAGCAATCTAAGTGATTTCTACCATTAATATGAAAAATCAGAATGCATCAGCTGGCTTTACCAGAGTCCAAAACAGGGAGGAGGGCGGGAGACCTTGACATTTACACAAAAACTTGTTTGTTTCACATTTAATTCATATCAAGTATTTAGAGGAAAGAATATGAGTACAGTGTACCAAATGTTTTTATTCATTTTTTCCAGCTTCCACTAAAATTAAAAACAGATGATAATATTCTTTTCTGTTTATCTTTTGTTAAAAACACTTAGTCAAGCATGCATATCAAGCATTTCTCGTGAATAAATTTGAAGCAAAATTTAAAGAAAATTAAAAAGTCTCATCTCTACCTAAAAATGTTCCAATATTTTATTRCAGAAATTTTACATTTCTGCATAAAATGTTATATTTTCAAGTTGAGTTCAGCTACAAATGTTAGATAAATTAAAGACTAAGAGTTTTTTGTGTTAATATAAAATGCATTCATGTGTTATAATGTTTATATGTTTAAACGTTTGGAATAAAAAAAAACTTGTTAATTCGCTCAAACTACATTAAAGAAGAGAGTCTTTCAGTTTGAGGGATTACAGTATGAATAATTACAGAATATAAAAAACTATAGAG